CCCCTAGCATAGCTGCTACTTACCACATGGCCAGATTTACAGTAGTTATTTCCTCCTAAGGGAAGGATTTGAAGTAAAGCTTTTCTTCAGCTTTTCTCCGTGTCTGGTTCAGTTATATCAGTTCGGTGGTGCGTAATCCTGGACATATTTTCACACAAAACCTAAAATAATGTTTTCCCCCAGTTCAAAAATAAGTGTATTCTTGGCATCAAAATGAACCATTAAAACTCACGGACATCATATGTGAAATCCATGGCACATAACAAGCGGGATTAGAAAAATGCTTTTTAGCCCCATTGACTTGCATTCGTTTTTTTTTCCAGGGACCCATGGTCCGGAAATAGACTGATGGGCTCGACACACGGGAGGCGACATCGCCTCTCCTCCATTCAGTTTCAATGAGACATGATAATCGCGGGTCTCCCTCCTACCAAGCGAAACACGAAAAACGTGCGTGTGAAATTTTGCGCTCGTGCACGTGTCGTGCACAGGCGACCCAGCGACGCGATCCCAGAAAGTTGAAACATTTTCAACTTTTCATCGCCGTCGCTCGGACGAGGACCAATCAACGGAGGTTTCATTCACTGACCAATGAGCGGACAGGATGCTCCGTACATCTCCGAGCAAACATGAAGAAGAAGTTTATTATTATTATGTTTTATATAGTAAAATCAGAAGTAAGATTTCACATAACTCTAGCAGCACCTTGTGAAACATCATATCTACCACTTTTTTAACTCTGAACTGCTTAAATAACCTTAATTCCCTCCAACCTGACACAGCCAAACAAAACAACGGAAGTTTCGATTTCGCCATGGAACAGAACGCAGCTTTGCTGCTGGCCGCTGCCGCGGATTGCCTCCCGTGTGTCAGGTAATAAAAGCGACGGCGACAAATTTCGCTGATCGCGGTCGTTTGTCGTCTCCTGTGTGTCGAGCCCATTAGGCTCCCTATGAGTTAGGCCCAATCCAACACCTGCCCTGTGGCCCTCTGTGAAGTGCACTTGGAGGAAGTGCACAGTAAGGCTTTGAGTGTGTGGTACACAAAGAGTGCACATAATAGCCGAATTAGGACAGGAAGCATTGCATTATCGACCGCAACCCATGCCGGAACGCTGGTCGCTGTAACTTTTTTTTAAACAACTTTCTAACTAACAACCAAACAATAATTTGAAAAATTTGACATTAATTGCTGCTTTGTCTAAAACATTCAGAGCATTAATTAATTGTCCCATAATTAACTACTTTTATTTGAAAATACAAATTTCCAGAAATGGCATTTAAGCCTTTTCTCCTGCAGCAATGGATTGTGGGTAAAACTTCCCGACACAGGAGCACCAGAGCTGTTTTCCCACAGTAAATAACTCAAAAGGCATTCATTTATACCAGAGACCACTGCAGATTCAAATCTATGAGAGCTTTAACTTTTTATGCTTTTTAAAATTCAGTCAGTGTGAACAAAGTTTGGTACTTCATAGGGCTGCACAATATATCGAAAAATTATCATCATCGCGATAACAGGACGTGCGATAGGCCCATCGCAAAGCACGTCAAAAACGGCGATAAATGTTTGGTTCAAACATTTGCATCTGTGTCATACATCAACTTTTTGTAAACCAGCTCTGTTTTTTTACGCGGAAGTATTATTTGACCAATCAAATGTAGCCCTTCTGATATGCGGCCAATCAGATGGGTCCGTTCACGTAATACGCCCGCCCCCTACGAGCTGCCCCGTGCAGCCCGGCTGTCTCCATCCGAAGGAGGTTGAGATGTTTGCCAGCCTTACATAACCGCTCTTGTTTTCGTCACCACCACTTCCTCCGCGCGCCGACACCGGAGCGTCGGAGACGGTGCTGCCGAGCGGAGCTTCCCAGGCTGCGCTTACTTTGGGCTGCCGTGCCGCCGTCTGGCTCACCCGCTCCAGCACAGACTGTATCCCCAAAATTCCACTATCTCCGCATCGTTTTCCGCTGCCGCTCGCTTCCCTTGTTCGTCATGCTGGCTCAGATTAACGAACGGACTTTGTGCTGAGGTTTCTGGGTCCGGTTAGCTTCCAGCTAAAAGGCTACAGCAGCACTCTCCTCCCAGTCCCACCCTGCTAAAGAGGGCCTGGAAAAGTTCCCCCACACATCAAAGTGATTTTTCATTTATGAGCTTTTATAACCTTGTTAATCAGGATAGTTGATTTGCTGCTGCACATAAACTGTCAGTCAGAAGCTCTGCTAGCCGGTTATCTTAAGAGGAGCTAGTTCAATTAGTTAGCTTGTTACCAGAATCATAGTTGCAGTTTCATCATCTGAGCTGCTTTTTAAGATCTAGGTAAACTTGTTCAATTTGGGGTTAAAAACAAACGTTTTCACATATTTTCCATGTAGTTTTTTGCCAGTTCCTCTTCTGAAAGGTAGACAATTGTTTTTCTCTTTCCCTCAGAAAATCTTAATATTCTCCTAGTTTGGCCCAGCACAGTTCACTTCCCAATTACAGCAACAGCCTTATATCATAACCACATAAGTGGAGAAAATGCTCAGTAGCAATGAGAGAATTTGCTGTTGCATTTAAGTGATGTTAACTATTATTTAACATTTAAACTTATTTTCTGATTTTTATTTATTCAAAAACCCTGGTAAGGGATGTTTTTCTGTATTTGGAGCATCAGAAAAAGTTTTATGGTGGTGGTGATGTTTTAAAGTCACTGAGAAACTGCATGCATGCAGTTTGTTGTTTTGCTGCTAATACAGTAGCAGGTGCAGCTGCTAATACAGTAGCAGGTGCAGCTGCTAATACAGTAGCAGGTGCAGCTGCATATTTTTGCAATAAAAATGTTATGTTGTAATGGGATTCATGCATTCGTTTTTGTTTGCTTTGAACCCAGAGCAGACATCACACGCCAGACGACATCAACACTGCATACTTTAGTATTTGTTCATTTATCGTGAGTAATATCGATATCGCAATATTAAGCACTGTTATCTAGGGCTGTCGCGATTGAGGAATTCCCCCTGCGGTGATTCAGGGTGGCTTAATATTGCGGTGTGCAATATTATTGCAGCATTTTCTTTTTAATGCAGTACTATCTAAACATAATGTTTACACATTTAAAAAAGGTTAAAAATTGCCGTGCCTTCTTTTATAACACTTTACTGAATGCAGATCAAAGGGCAGTAACAACACAGATCGCAGTAACGTTTGTTTCTCCGACAGTCAGGAGTCCGACTGAACATAAAAACAACAAAATTCAGGAGGTTAAACTTTTAAATGCAAATTTGGCTGCAGCATCTAACAAATAAGAAACAAGTCCCATTTTGTTTAGTTGTTTAAAATCAAGCATAAAAAATTACATGTACCGGGCGCGGGGCACTATCATTTCACTTTCACACACACGAATGACGGTGATTTATAGCTTGGTCACGTCCTTGTTACCCACAAGGAAAACCAGCATGTTAACCATATACGGTTTGAGAGAGGATCTGAGAGGGGTGGCAACATTTGCAGCAACACTGAAAACCCTCTCGGATGGTGCGCTCGTTGCACTAAAAGCTGCGAGTTGTGAAGCGCGTTCCATCCGCAAGAAGCATCACCGCGCAGAAAGTGAATGCATCAAGCATAAACCAAGCTTAAATCAGGCTTTACACACACGTACTTGCGTGCGACTGGCGAGCAAAGGGAATCTCTCCCGGTTGTTGCTCCACCATGTCAGGGGGGTTTCTTTAGGGTGGATGCATTCCTCCTGCAGGTAGCGAGTGAGCTCCAGCTCTGCTCAAACTCTCTTCGGGACGGTTGCAGAAGCAGTGCTTGTCCGGGACTTCAGCAGGTCTCCGAGCGTTTATTTATTTTATTTTTTTGCCGCTGGTGGCAGCTCTGCCCTGGCCAAGGACCCTGGCTGCGCAGCAGCTGACGTACTGAAAACCAAAGTGCTCCCAAAGGAGCGAAGTAACGTTTCGTTTTGATACCAGTGCAGCCATCCTTCTCAACATGCATCATTGAGTTGAATCAAGTTCAGTAATCGCGGTGGCCCATGATGCAGCGCGGTGGGTTTCTTCATATTGCGATATTTCATTTTTGCGGTTACCGTGACAGCCCTACTGTTATCGAATATCGTAGGTTTTCCTAATATCGTGCAGCCCTAGTACTTCAATAATCTTTTCACCCTACTATTTGTTTTCACTTTCCTTCAAAAGGAGTTTATATCTTGTCTGTCTGTCTCATCAATACCACTGTGAGACGAGTCCCTTTGCTCCAAAGCTGATCGGTCAACTACTTAATGATAAGGATTGATTATTGATGAAGACTATTTTTATTAATGGCCGTTATTCAAGCTCTCGTGTTAGTGACAGAGTTTGAGTCTCAAAGTCAGTGTATACCTGTAAGCTAGCTGAACTGCTAAGCTAACACCTAAAAGAGCAGTAGCCGATCCAAGCTTAATTTAATGTATTTGACTGCATACATGCCTATACGATTAAAGATCTTTTCATATCTAACCTCACCGTGAGCACAGCATGGTGTTGGGCCACTGCAGCCTGTCTGCCCCACCTACTAACACTGATATCTAAACTATTAACTCTGCATCCCAGTGAAACACGACCGGTTTGTCTATCACATAGGTGATCTCAGAAACTTTCTGTGTATTCTTCTCTTTAAGTTTTATGTTTTCTCACGTATGGTTGATGTTGTTGCTTTTTCTCAAATGTGGTAAATGACATAAAAACATCCAAATGAGCTTTTTACAAGTTGGCAACTGGTAAACCAGCAGACTGATGTGGGGTAAAAACAGCATGTGTATGTAGCTACATTCATGTGTTGACAAAAGAAAAGAGTGAAGGACAAAAGTGATCATGCATTCAGTTCATTGTGTGTGATCTTCACCTTCTGTATAACTGACAGCTTGTGTTTAAGCACAGTAAAACAAACAGATGTCTGGTCTGTTGTGATCTAAACTGCCTGTGCTCTGAATTCTTCTCCTCGCTGCTTCACCCTTTGTTGTAATGTTATTACCCCTTTTAGATGTCTCGAATAATCCAAGTTTATGATGAGGAGAAAGAGATTAATACGCAGGTAAGCTGTTTCTAATGGAGCAACGATATCCTCTTCCCTCCCACTGAGGCTCCAAGAAATGTTTTTGCCCTTTTTATTTTACTTTTTTTTTTTACTACAATGAATTTCTGAGCAGCAAAAGTCTTTATGGTGTCAACGTTTCTGTCAGCTGTGCAGAGGGAGTGTGAAGACCTTAGACTCTGGACTCGTTTCCCCCACTTTTTAAAATTCAAATCTAATTTTTTCGCCCTTATATTAATATTTCTTTTCTGGTGTTTTTACTTTGATGTTTGTAACTTAATAAGATGGTTATGGCTGACAGCAGGTGTGGTAAAGAGCCTCCTGGTGTTCCTGGCCCATAAGCTGATCCACATGTTTAGAATAGAAGATGCTCACACGAGTGAAATGGAGCATTCGGTGCCAAAGGTTTCATGTTTCAGAGGCTCTAAGCAGCTTTTATAATGTTTATTTTACCCATTAAATCTAGTTAACTTAGCAAAAACAGCTGTTTTTCACCAGCTTGTTTTCCAAAGGCTTAATTCACTGAGAAAATGCATAATACTCATTCCGTTTTTTTAAATACAATGGGTCACTATTGTGCCACTGTGGGCAGCAGTAGCTCAGGGGTTGCAGGTTCAATCCCAGCTCCCACCAGAGAATGCTGCTGTTGTGTCTTTGGGCAAGACACTTAACCCGCCTTGCCTGCAGGTGGTGGTCGGAGAGACTGGTGTGTCCCAGAGCAGCTGTGGCTACAGTGTATCACATCATCAGTGTGCGAATGTGTGTGGAAGCCTAATAAAGCTGTGAAGCGCCTTGGGGGGTTGTAGAATCCTACGATGGCACTATACAAATACAGATCATTTGTCATTTACTCTGAGTTGCATGAAAATGGTAAACGTGAAAAACGTCTTTGACCCTCTTCGCCTGCATCAGCTGGGGGAAAACAAATGGGCAACTCCACAAGTGGCAGAACGCATTCACACATGTGTTTTTAACCCAGGGAAGAAGAGCAAATGGAGGCAGCAGAAGAGTTACACTGCTGTTAGCCAATCAGGCGATGTTTGCATATCATGAATATTAATGAGTAAGATTCAAAATTATGTTGTCACCCCAGAGGAAAAATTCTTAAATGTGTTTTAAAGGTTTTATGGAGTTTTATTATCTCATTGACTGCCGGCCGTTTCATGATCAGAAAAGCCTCTCGCTGCCAGCGTTTGAGCGTTTTTACTGTGTTTTTGAAGAGTCTCAGAATGTTGCGCTCTATGATGATGTCAACGCCAAAACAACCAAAACAAAGAACAGACTCACCTCTTATATCAGGAAGAATCGGCATGTTTCTAGCGTTATCCGTTCTTTCATAATCCGTTGCCGAATTGTGAGCGACAGAAGCTTTTCCGGTTCGCGCCTCACTTTTTTCACGGCAGCGGCTCAAAACGATCTAACACATGGATTTTCTACTTCCTCATCATATGACGTGTGATGTACGCGAATGAAGATCAGCTTTAGAGCTGTGATGTTTGTTCTCACGGTGCGGGGGCTCGTTCCGACGCCTGCCCAGTACAAAAATGCAAATGACGACTTAAGTCGTCAATGGCAGCAAGCGGTTGTATTTAAAATGACGACTTTAGTCATCAATGGCAGTTAATGAGTTAAGGCCACAAGGAGGAGTTGATCATTTACTGTATGCTGGTAAAGGTTCTCATTCATCCAGGTCATAGTAATCCAAAAGGGTTCAAATGAAGGCAAATGGAGTCCAGCTGCCTTCATTTGAACCCTTTGGAAGATTATTTACTGTTTGTTCACATAAAGTATTTATACAGACTTTAATTGTATAATTTAAAAACAAACCAAATTTAACCACCTGTTGACCGTGTTTGTGCCAGATCTGTTTGGTTGTAAATGTTTGTCATGATACTTTCTAATAAACTTTAACAGCATATTTAAAGTGAACTGACCGAAACATGACCAGTCGTTTGTCTTCTGCCGTGGTGTGATGGCAGCAGGAACAACTGGTAATATGTCCGTTATTCTTGAATGGATCATGTCAAATGGAATAAGTTTTATTTTAGATCACATGTACAAAATAGAAAGTTTGTTTCTGGTTTCAGAAAATGTCTTTATATTTCTAGTTGCAGAGACAATCAGGTTTTAACCACAAATCACATTTTTTTTCTTTTTGGATACAGGTGGTTTGGCAGTGAAGGTTTTGTCTTCCTGTAAATGCTGGTGTTGTCTTAAATGTGTTCAGCAGCTGAATTTGAAGGGAATGTTTGACGGTGCCAGTTTAAATGCTTCATGGAGCCACAGTGGGACAGGAAGGCAGGATATCTCTGCTCTGTACAACAAGCTGGAGCCACTCTGCCATCAGGAGTTTTAACCTACATCTAATTTGTCTCCTCTTCCTCCCTCCTGCCTCAACCCATTCATGTTTTCCCATTCCATCGTTTTCTCACACTTTCCTCCTCTGTACTACTCCTCACGCACTTCTTCTCCAACTTCTTCCTCCTTTTCCTCGTCCCACAGGTGGGATCGGAAATGGCAATATCTGGCAAGGCGGTCAGCCTGTACTTTGAAGAGAAGCTGGCAGCAATTTTCCCTGACCAGAACTTTCCTGACACGCCAGAACCAGAGTCCCCCGACGAAAAAGAGAAGGAAGACGAGGACACAGATGACTCTGAGGAGGAATTCATACAACCCAGACGCAAACGATTGAAAATGGATGATAAAATTGTCCATGTCAAGTGACAACAGAGATAAGAAGTGAAAAACTGTCTTCCTCCTATACCACACTTCTCTCTCCTCATCCCTTTCATTTGAAGAAGAAAAATGAAAATGTGTTTTTTTTAAACTAACTGGATGATCTCATTGCCTTTAAAACAGCTGTTGTCTTCTGATATGTTTTTGGGAACCTTTGTGGGTGAGAAGATGGAAGATCTGCATTCCCTTTGTATTCCATGGACATTAACTTGTACAGAATTTGAAGTAAAAATTCTTTTGTTGTAGTTAGCAATTGGTTATTTGTTTTCTATTATCCATTTGCATTTGTAGATTTGTTGTGACGATTGCTTTGTAATACACCAAGATCTCCTGTTCTGTTGGATGTATAATATCTATAACATGGAGTCACCAAGTATTTGTATGACTGTTGGAAATGTTATGTAAATAAGAGAGTTTAACCCTCTGAAGGTATTGCTACAGAATAGATGTTTCGGTGCATCATCAATAAAACCCATTCTTGAAATAGATCAGAAAAAAAATGTTTGTGGAGTTGCAAAGATTCCCTGACATCACAAATTACATCAGCTACCAAACAATGTCCCTGAAAGGATTTTGCTATACGGACAGTGATGTGAATAAAATGACAAAGTCCAGTTTTAGCCTTCTTGGTGTTGATTAGGATAATGCAAAGGCCCCCAGAGTGCTGTGATAAGTAGAATACTACATCTTCAAAGGCAAATAGGATGCTGTAGTCGCAGTTTGCCATGGAAAAAAAGAACTACCAATGAGCCAAACAAATAAATTTGATGTACTTAAATATGTGATTTATTTTCACTGTTGAAAAGTTAATTTTACCTTATATAGGCATTAGTCGACGTACAGCACACAGGTGGCCTCTCACCTCCATTTATAAATAAGTCAATGGAAAACCTCTGAGATTTAATCGGCGCCTAGGTTTAACAGTTTTAGCTCCAGGTATGAAAGCCCAAATAAACTCACAATCATTGGGGCGACGGTGGCACAGGAGTTAAGTGCTCGCCCGGTAGTCGGAAGGTTGCAGGTTCGAGCCCCGCTTAGTCTGTCACTGTCGTTGTGTCCTTGGGCAAGACACTTAACCCACATTGCCTGCTGGTGGTGGTCGGAGGGACCGGTGGCGCCAGTGATCGGCAGCCTCACCTCTGTCAGTGTGCCCCAGGGCAGCTGTGAGCTACACATTGTAGCTCATCCCCACCAGTGTGTGAATGGGTGAATGACTGATTGTGTTGTAAAGAGCCTTGAGGGGTTCCAGGACTCTAGAAGGCGCTATATCAAATACAGGCCATTTTACTATTACATTTAACACTGTTACATAAATAGAAGTTTTATTCCGTTGAAGAAAAAGAGCAGGTTTTCTTGTTGCTTACACCACAAATATAGCCTTTTTTTTAAAAAAAAATGCTAAGTGTGTTTCTACTAACTATTGTAATTTTATAAAAATAGTTTCTTCCTCCTTAATAGTTAAATGGATACAGGAAACATGAGGATTTTATTTTTCAGCCACTGAGATAAGGCTTATCAGTTCAGCTGAACAGTTCTTTCTTTTCGCCACTTGAGGGCGCCAAATCCCCATCCCCTTTGCTTCTAACTGTTGAACAAACACCCAGGATGTAGTCCCGGCTTTTCATCCTTGGAGGGCGTAAATTCATCTCTATTGATAAAAAAAATTGCGTTTGAAAATTTCTGAGATCGTAATGGCATCTAACACTTTTAGCCAAAGATATGAAAGCCCAAATAAACTCTTCACAACCTTTAACATTGTTACATAAATACAAGTTTTCCTCTTTATGTTAAATAATTGGAGAAAAACAGCAGGTTTCCTTGTTGCTAAAGCCACAAATATATCATAGCCTTTTATTTTTGAAAGAATGTACAAAAAGTCTATCTACAAAGTGACTATTGTAACTTTATAAATGTTGTTCTTCCTCCTTAATATTAACACTTCCACGAATACAGGAAACATGAGGAGTTTTATTTTTCAGCTACTGAGATAAGGGGTCTATCAGTTCAGCTGAACAGTTCTTTCTTTTAACCACTTGAGGGCGCCAAAACCCCATCCCCTTTGCTTCTAACTGTAAACAGACCCAGGATGTAGTCCCGGCTTTTCACCACTGGAGGGCGTAAATTCACCTCTCTATTGATAAATATTTGCCGTTTCAAAACCTCTGAGATTGTAATGGCATCTAGCACTTTTAGCCAAAGATATGAAAGCCCAAATAAACTCTTCACAACCTTTAACATTGTTACATAAATACAAGTTTTCCTCTTTATGTTAAATAATTGGAGAAAAACAGCAGGTTTCCTTGTTGCTAAAGCCACAAATATATCATAGCCTATTATTTTGAAATAATGTTCAAAAAGCATATCTACAAAGTGACTATTGTAACTTTATAAAATGTTGTTCTTCATCCTTATTATTAATTCTTCCACGAATACAGGAAACATGAGGATTTTTATTTTTTAGCTACTGAGATAAGGGGTCTATCAGTTCAGCTGAACAGTTCTTTCTTTTCGCCACTTGAGGGCGCCAAATCCCCATCCCCTTTGCTTCTAACTGTTGAACAGACCCAGAATGTAGTCCCGGCTTTTCATCCTTGGAGGGCGTAAATTCATCTCTATTGATAAAAAAAATTGCGTTTGAAAATTTCTGAGATTGTAATGGCATCTAACACTTTTAGCCAAAGATATGAAAGCCCAAATAAACTCTTCACAACCTTTAACATTGTTACATAAATACAAGTTTTCCTCTTTATGTTAAATAATTGGAGAAAAACAGCAGGTTTCCTTGTTGCTAAAGCCACAAATATATCATAGCCTTTTATTTTGAAAGAATGTACAAAAAGTAAATCTACAAAGTGACTATTGTAACTTTATACAATGTTGTTCTTCATCCTTATTATTAATTCTTCCACGAATACAGGAAACATGAGGATTTTTATTTTTCAGCTACTGAGATAAGGGGTCTATCAGTTCAGCTGAACAGTTCTTTCTTTTCGCCACTTGAGGGCGCCAAATCCCCATCCCCGTTGCTTCTAACTGTTGAACAGACCCCAGGATGTAGTCCCGGCTTTTCACCACTGGAGGGCGTAAATTCACCTCTCTATTGATAAATACGTGCCGTTTGAAAACCTCTGAGATTGTAGTGGCATCTAGCACTTTTAGCCCAAGATATGAAAGCCCAAATAAACTCTTCACAACCTTTAACATTGTTACATAAATACAAGTTTTCCTCTTTATGTTAAATAATTGGAGAAAAACAGCAGGTTTCCTTGTTGCTACAGCCACAAATATATCATAGCCTTTTATTTTGAAAGACTGTACAAAAAGTCTATCTACAAAGTGACTATTGTAACTTTATAAATGTTGTTCTTTCTCCTTAATATTAATATTTCCACGAATACAGGAAACATGAGGATTTTATTTTTCAGCTACTGAGATAAGGGGTCTATCAGTTCAGCTGAACAGTTCTTTCTTTTCGCCACGTGAGGGCGCCAAATACCCATCCCCGTTGCTTCTAACTGTTGAACAGACCCAGGATGTAGTCCTGGCTTTTCACCACTGGAGGGCGTAAATTCACCTCTCTATTGATAAATAATTGCCGTTTGAAAACCTCTGAGATTGTAGTGACATCTAGCACTTTTAGCCAAAGATATGAAAGCCCAAATAAACTCTTCACAACCTTTAACATTGTTACATAAATACAAGTTTTCCTCTTTATGTTAAATAATTGGAGAAAAACAGCAGGTTTCCTTGTTGCTAAAGCCACAAATATATCATAGCCTTTTATTTTTGAAAGAATGTACAAAAAGTCTATCTACAAAGTGACTATTGTAACTTTATAAATGTTGTTCTTTCTCCTTAATATTAATATTTCCACGAATACAGGAAACATGAGGATTTTATTTTTCAGCTACTGAGATAAGGGGTCTATCAGTTCAGCTGAACAGTTCTTTCTTTTCGCCACGTGAGGGCGCCAAATCCCCATCCCCGTTGCTTCTAACTGTTGAACAGACCCAGAATGTAGTCCCGGCTTTTCACCACTGGAGAGCGTAAATTCACCTCTCTATTGATAAATAATTGCCGTTTGAAAACCTCTGAGATTGTAGTGGCATCTAGCACTTTTAGCCCAAGATATGAAAGCCCAAATAAACTCTTCACAACCTTTAACATTGTTACATAAATACAAGTTTTCCTCTCTATGTTGAATAATTGGAGAAAAACAGCAAGTTTCCTTGTAGCTAAAGCCACAAATATATCATAGCCTTTTATTTTGAAAGAATGTACAAAAAGTATATCTACAAAGTGACTATTGTAACTTTATAAAATGTTGTTCTTCATCCTTATTATTAATTCTTCCACGAATACAGGAAACATGAAGATTTTTATTTTTCAGCTACTGAGATAAGGGGTCTATCAGTTCAGCTGAACAGTTTTTTCTTTTCGCCACCTGAGGGCGCCAAATCCCCATCCCCTTTTCTTCTAACTGTTGAACAGACCCAGGATGTTGTCCCGGCTTTTCACCACTGGAGAGTGTAAATTCACCTCTCTATTGATAAATAATTGCCGTTTGAAAACCTCTGAGATTGTAGTGGCATCTAACACTTTTAGCCCAAGAAGCCCTGCCTCCTCTTGCTGAGCATTCACACGTGGAGGTAAGTGTCGCTGTGTTGACCTTAGTCATCATCAGTCAGTGACAGACAACAGGGTTTGGCACCATGGGCATTTACAGTCGTGTCATGAGGTCAAAGGTCAGGCTCAGTGTTTACAGTTAGGTCGAGTGGACAGGGTTGTGAGCAGGTCATACCTGTCGCAGGAGCAGGAAGTGGAAAGTTGGACGGTGGTGTTGCTGTCCTCTGCAATCAGCCAGTAGAGGTTCTTATCCGTGATCAGTCGCACGTTCTTCCGGTTCTTCTTGGCGAGGTAGCCACAATCCGCGTTGAAGTCCCCCAGAAGCATCACGTTCTGCTCAGACACCACGGACGGGTCAGAAGGTCACTTCCTGCTTCACCGTTACTGAATTCCTCTAGAGGCTCATGTCTTTACCTCGGTTCTCCACATCTTCTTCACACGCTGCAGAACGTCGTACAGAGCATCCAGCTCTTTGGTGGTGTTGGTTGGGGTGGTGTGTTGAGGGATGAGGACAAATTCTTTTATAACTGAAAATACATTTTATTCTATTAAGGAAGCAGAGGAAAAGACCCCTGTACGGAAGCCCTGAGAGGCCAGAAACCTGACCTGTCCTTGGGGCCTTGAAGCGAACAACAAAAGGCTCCCTGGAGAAAGCATCTTCATCTCCTTTTAGATCATCTGGGTACTGATAGAGGTCTGTAACCGTCACCGTTTCAGTCCTGGAAAGGTCCATACACGTAAGAAAACACGTTTGGATCTGTAACCCCTTTCAGGGCTTCGAGGAGCTCAAACCGCTCAAAATACCTGTAAATAAACACATACTGCTCCTGGTACAACTCCGACCAGCCCAGTCGCTCACTGGACACATGCTGGTAGCTAGACGTGGAGTCATACCTGAACAACAACAAAACAGGTAATCTAGTGGTTACCGAGGGCTCAGCTCCATCAGGTTATCAATGAGGGTGGATGGGTGGGTGGATGAGTGGGTGGATGGATGGGTGGGTGGGTGAGTGGGTGGATGGATGGGTGGGTGGGTGAGTGAGTGAGTGAGTGAGTGAGTGGATGGATGGGTGGGTGGATGGGTGGATGGATGGATGGATGGATATATGGATGGGTGGGTGGGTGGATGGATGGATGGATATATGGATGGGTGGGTGGGTGGATGGATGGATGGTTATATGGATGGGTGGGTCGGTGGATGAGTGGGTGGATGGATGAGTGGGTGGGTGAGTGAGTGGGTGGGTGAGTGAGTGGGTGGATGGATGGGTGGGTGGATGGATGGATGGATGGATGGGTGGGTGGGTGGGTGGATGGATGGGTGGGTGGGTGGGCGGATGGGTGAGTGGATGGATGGGTGGATGAGTGGGTGGATGAGTGGGTAGATGGATGAGTGGGTGGGTGAGTGAGTGGGTGGGTGAGTGAGTGGGTGGATGGATGGGTGGGTGGGTGAGTGAGTGGGTGGGTGAGTGAGTGGGTGGATGGATGGGTGGGTGGATGGATGGATGGATGGATGGATGGGTGGATGGATGGGTGGGTGGGTGGGTGGATGGATGGGTGGGTGGGTGGGTGGATGAGTGCGTGGATGGATGGATGGATGGATGGATGGGTGGGTGGATGGATGGATGGATGGATGGGTGGATGGATGGATGGGTGGGTGGATGGATGGATGGGTGGGTACTGAGCTGTCTGCACTGCTCTCTAATGTGATTCCTTTCATAAGGAATCATTTGTATGATTTTAGTGTCACTATTTTATTACATTTATAGGAAAAGATGAAGTCACTGCAGCAACACAAACGTGACTATAAACATGAAAGTTAAACAACCAACTTTCCTAAAGCTGCTTGTAGAAAAAATATGTCATTAAAGTTATTGTCTATCATTGCAGAATATGGCGATGACATCATGGAACTGGTCTTTGGAAAAGTTTTCCCTGAACCAACTCCGTTTCAAGATGAGGTAGAGAAGATCTGCATCTCACCAACTCTCTGGTCTCAGTATTCAGACAACGGAGGTCTCCCACTGTTATCCAGGACCAGTTTGAAGCCCACATACTGCCCCTCCCTCATCATCAGGAAACATCAATCCATATCCTGAGGACAACAGAAGACGGCAGGAGGACAGGAACTCTTGAGACCTAGATACCACCAGCACCGGGACACAAAGCACCTGTGTGCACAATGCCTGTTTAACTACTAAAGCCTGTTTATTATATTGTTCTACTTATTTGCTGTGAGGTTAATAATTAGAAAATTTGTATATTAATGTAAACAATTAAAAAAATCACTGATTGCATGTTATCTTTTAGATGTAATGGTCCAAACTCAGCCTTGTAGACATTTATTGCATCCTGTAGGTAAATACACAGAACAGGCTCAGATCCAGGATGACCCAGCATGCTCTTCTTCCATTCTGGCTGTTAGGGTTAGGGTTTTATCAATAACTCAATGCCTACTGATGTTTTCACCTAACGGTATTTATTTAGAATGCAGGTCAGATTTAACTATATTTGTTAGCAAAGCAGACTGATCTTGGGAATTTCACTGCAGCACTGATGCCCACCTCTCTGTACACATCAGAGAGAATTACCACGTTACAGCTAAACGCACATTTAATAAAGATATAGGCTACGCATTGCAGACAATAAAAACACAAAGTTGTAAGCATTAGAATTATAATGATCACATTAAAGAACATTGAGAAATGTTCTTTATTTGTCACTAGAATCTCAAATCTTTAAATTAAAATGTAACTGTTTTTTATCCATTTTCAGGCATTAAGACACCCAATATAAAATAAGACTACTCATAAAATTATTTATATATGTATATAGATAGGTAGAGATCTTAATAAAATATATTCTTTTAATGGTGTTTTAATGAGCTGTATCGTTTTTTAAATCTTTTTTATAGAAATAAGCTAGCAGCACTCCTTGTGTGTGTGTGTGTGTGTGTGTGTGTGCGCGTGCCAGATCGCTTGTCCCTCCGTCGGCCATGACGGATGTGTGTGTGTGTGTGTGTGCGTGTGAATGCGCATGCACATGCACATGCCTGCTCGCTTGTCCCTCCGTCGGCCGTGACGGGTGTGTGTGCGACTACAGACAAATGCATGAGAGAGTTAGCAGCCTTGAAACAGCTTGATGAACAACTCTCCCCACGTTTTAAAAATGCTAATATAATGTTTCTGCTATGCTAAATAATGATTTCTCTATAGAACTACAAAGTCCGACTGGGGGAGGAGAGTACAGGTCTGCACTATGGAGGGGGGCGGAGTTTACAGCTCCTCCTCCAGATTTAAAGAGACAGTACCCAAAAACGGCTCGTTCTATTTCGTCTAGTCTTAGTCCTTAAGCTAGCTGCTATTGGAAGGATGATCTCAGCATCAGCCAATCATGAAGAGCTCAAATGTATGCCCACCAATGGTGGGCACCCCTTGTGGGTATACAGGTGCTGGCCAGTAAATTAGAATATCATCAAAAGGTTGAAAATATATCAGTAATTCCATTCAAAACGTGAAACTTGTACATTATATTCATGCAATGCACACAGACCAATGTATTTCCAATGTTCATTACATTTAAATTTGATATTCATAAGTGACAACTAATGAAAACTCCAAATTTGGTATCTCAAGAAATTAGAATATTCTGAAAAGGCTGAATATAGAAGACACCTGCTGCCACTCTAATCAGCTGATTTACTCAAAACACCTGCAAAGGCCTTTAAAAGGTCCCTCAGTCTTGTTTTGAAGGCACCACAATCATGGGGAAGACTTCTGACTTAACAGCTGTCCAAAAGACAATCATTGACACCTTGCACAAGGAGGGCAAGACACAAAAGGTGATTGCTAAAGAAGCTGGCTGTTCGCAGAGCTCTGTGTCCAAGCACATTAACAGACAGGCGAAGGGACGGAAAAAATGTGGTAGAAAAAAGTGTACAAGCTCTAGGGATAACCGCTCCCTGCAGAGAATTGTGACGACAAACCCATTCAAAAATGTGGGGGAGATCCACAAAGAGTGGACTGCAGCTGGAGTCAGCGCTTCAAGAACCACCACGAGGAGACTCATGAAAGACATGGGATTCAGGTGTCGCATTCCGTGTGTCAAGCCACTCTTGAACAAGAAACAGCGCAAGAAGCGTCTCGCCTGGGCCAAGGACAAAAAGGACTGGACTGATGCTGAGTGGTCCAAAGTTATGTTTTCTGATGAAAGCAAGTTCTGCATTTCCTTTGGAAATCAAGGACCCAGAGTCTGGAGGAAGAGCGGAGAAGCACAGAATCCACGTTGCATGAGGTCCAGTGTAAAGTTTCCACCGTCAGTGATGGTGTGGGGTGCCATGTCATCTGCCGGTGTTGGCCCACTCTGTTTCCTGAGGTCCAGGGTCAATGCAGCCGTCTACCAGGAAGTTTTAGAGCACTTCATGCTTCCTGCTGCTGACCAACTTTATGGGGATGCAGACTTCACCTTTCAACAGGACTTGGCACCTGCACACAGTGCCAAAACCACCAGCACCTGGTTCAAGGACCATGGTATCCCTGTCCTTGATTGGCCAGCAAACTCGCCTGACCTTAACCCCATAGAAAATCTATGGGGTATTGTGAAGCGGAGGATGCAATACGCTAGACCCAACAATGCAGAGGAGCTGAAGACGACTATCAGAGCAACCTGGGCTCTCATAACACCTGAGCAGTGCCACAGACTGATCGAGTCCATGCCACGCCGCATTACTGCAGTTATTGAGGCAAAAGGAGCCCCGACTAAGTATTGAGTGCTATACATGCACATTCTTTTCATGTTCATTCTTTTCAGTTGGCCAACATTAGAGAAACAAACATTTTTTCATTGGCCTTTAGAATATTCTAATTTTCTGAGATACCAGATTTGATGTTTTCATTGGTTGTCACCTATAAATATCAAAATTAAACGTAATAAACATCGGAAATACATTGGTCTGTGTGCATTGCATGAATATAATGTACAAGTTTCACGTTTTGAATGGAATTACTGAAATATTTTCAACCTTTTGATGATATTCTAATTTACTGGCCAGCACCTGTATAAGTGGAGCGACTCCACTGTTCGCCTCCGTTATCTCTTCAAGCCAAGCTTAAGTGCTTTCTTTAAAGAGCAAATTATCGAAGAAACAACATTCAACTCACCAGCCATGTCCAGCGACGCCAGGACCTGCCCGGCCTGCCACACGGGCTCCATCTCCAGCGGCGACCTGCACAGCAAGTATGAGCTCTGTCCCGGGGCTCATCACGCTGGCCTGGCCTTGACCCCCCAGGCCTCGTGCCCATTTTGTGCCACTCTGCCCGTGGCTGAAAAGGTCCGCCGGGTCGAGTGCTTCACCCCCACCACCGACGAGGAAATTCCGGTGGCTGGCACGTACTCGCTGGACAAGGCCTTTCAGTTCTTCGTCATCAGTCAGGAGCCGGCTGGCTCCTCCTGACTGGACAATGTCATCGACAGTGAGGAGTACGACGAGGCTGGCTGCCATAGCCCTTTTTCCCTCCTGTGCAACATGGAGGTCGACGAGCCTCGCTCAGCGGATCCTCCTGCCCCAGTGGCTTCTAGCTCCTCCCTGCCAGCAGTTAGAGCACTGCTCCAGGAGCTGCCCGCCATCATCTCCGCGGCCGCGGTCCGCAAGGGGCTAGCCGTTCCAGAACCGGCTCCGCCTAAGGCAGATGATTTGGAAAGGAATTTTCGGGTCAATACAGATGCACTGTCCAGACCCCGTCTGGCCGCATTTCCCCGCTGCCATGAGCTGCTGGACCACCACCTTCTCCGAGCCTGCTAGGCTTAAGGCGCCAATTTCCACATATGCGCCCATTACCAAGGTCGAGGGCTTCTCCGACCTGGGCTGGCAATCCGTTCCTCCACTGGAGCCGGACTTGTTCTCGCTGTGTGGTGCCAAGAACCACCTCGCTTGCCCGCGAGCAGTTCCCGCTTCTAAGCATGACCAGCTGCTGACGCGGCTGACCGATCATGCACACCAGTGCACCTTCCAGACCGGCGCTGCAGGAAATAACATCGCCCTTCTTGCCTTTGGCGTTTCCAAAATGGTGGAAGAGCTTGATGATCCTGACGAGTCAAAAACCATCATTACCAAAACTGCTTGTGCCATTCCCAATCTGTGCGCTGCTGTACTCACCGGTTCTGCTCGCATTGCTGCCTGGCAGACCCTTATCCAGCAGGCCTTGTGGCTCAAGGCCCTGCCCTCCATTCCTGATCACCAGCACAGGGAGATGCTGGAAGGCCCCATCACCTCTGACGTTCTGTTTGGTCCCCATCTTACGAGCGTCATCGAGAGGGCTGAACTGTCAGCCACGGTGCGAGACCTGGTCCACCCTCGGTCAGCCTCGCACTCCGACCGTTCCTTCAGAGGATGGGACGAACGGCGCGGAAACTTCAGGTACCCAGCTGCACCGCCCGCCCCGCGGAGCCGGCCTCCTGCTTCGACTCCACCTCAGCGGGACTAGGGAGTTGGCGGCCAACGGTTCCGAAAGAGCCAGCAGACGCCGTCTTGGCAGTCACAGGCGCAGGAACCTTGCCGAAAACAACCACGAAAACGACTCGTTGGGAGGAATGTGTGTGCTTATGACTGTAATGTTAACTCTGTGAATGATTTTGGTTTTGAAATAAAACCCAAAAAATGTCACATTGAGAGCACAATCCTACAGTCCTCTGCCGAATCCTCACACATGTTCCCCACACCAAGCACTGCGACACATCTGCATGTTCCCGCAGTCCGTCATTTTACACGGCCAGCTGTAAGGGTGCGCTCCATTTGCGCACCGGCCCCGGCCTCCGGCCAGGCCCAACTCATCCCGCTTCCCCCACAACGTTGGGTGGGACGGGATGTCATGGCGCTGTCACGACCACTCGCGGCGACACGGTGCGCGGCTCCATTCGCTGGCACTTTGTCGTCCCCGTGCATGGGCCCGGCTCCCACTTGTCCTTCATCCTTGGACTCCACTCTCCGCGGTGCGGATCAGCCTCTTCCAGCTGTTCACATTCGCCCTTTCGAGCACAGCCCTCCATGGGTCGCTCCCAGTTCTCTGGTGCGAGCGACGGCGGTAAGGACGCGAACCCAGTCCTCAGACGTCGTTCACGTGACCTCGAACACGCGTCCGCTGTCGGAACGCGCGCAAGAATGGCACCGCCTTTGCCTCATGAGCAAATGGATATCGGACACCATTCATTACGGTCACACACTCCATTTTCAGTCCGCTCCTCCTCCCTTCAACGGGATCGTGGAGACGACGTTCACGTCACAGGTACAATCTCAGGCCCTGGAGCTAGAGCTGCGGGAACTTCTGTCCAAGGATGCAATTTCCCAAGTCCCTCGCGGACAAGAGCTCTCAGGCTTCTACTCCCGCTACTTCGTAGTACCGAAGAAGTCGGGAGGAATGAGACCAATTCTCGACCTTTCCCTGTTCAACTGCTCCATAGCAGTGATGCATTTCCGCATGTTAACAATGAGGCAAGTCCTGGAATACGTGCGCTCCGGGGACTGGTTCACATCAATAGACCTGAAAGATGCATACTTCCACATCCCAGTAATTCCCAAGCACCCGAAGTTCCTGCGCTTCTCATTCAAGGGAGTTCAATACCAGTTCAATCGTCTCCCTTTCGGCTACTCGCTAGCCCCGCGCACCTTCTCCAAATGTCTGGAGACCGCGCTGCAGCCACTGCACACGGTGGGAATGAGGGTTTTATTTTATCTGGACGATCTGCTCATATGCGCCCGGTCCAAGGACGAGGCGTCAGAGCAAACCAGGAAGTTAATAGAGCATCTGTCAACCCTGGGGTTTTCCATAAACTGGGAGAAGAGCTCCATCCTTCCATCCCAGTCGATTGTGTTTCTCGGGGTGGAGCTGAACGCCTCTCTACTGAGAGCACGTTTGTCTCCGGCGAGAGCGGCAGTTCTCGCCTCGGTGATCTCCCGCGTGCAACCCCGCAAGATCGTGAGAGCCCTGTTAGTCATGAAACTTCTGGGCATGATGGCTGCAGCCCACGCTGTGGTGCCGCTAGGTTTACTGCACACGAGGCGTCTGCAGCGTTGGTTCATCCGCCTCCGGGTACACCCGATACGCCAGAAGAGACGTATGTTGATGGTTCCCCCTTCAGTGGGTGGGGACCTCGCTCACTGGGGGAATCCCTGCATCCTCTCACAGGGGTCCCCATTGGACGTCCTATGTCACACGTATCTGTGTTTACGGATGCGTCACTGTTGGGATGCGGGGGGCACGTGCTTGTCCCATACGGTGGCAGATCGCTGGCTCTCCCACACGCACGAGCACATAAATGTGTTGGAGCTTATGACAGTGAGGAATGTGATCAGACACTTCGCTGCCCTTCTTTGAGGGCCGTCATGTCGAAGTTCACACAGACAACCAGGTGGCGGGAGCCTACATAAATCGCCATGGGGGAGTTCGATCCCTCCCACTATTGCGTGTAGCCACAGATTTACTGTGTTGGGCACATGTCCACCTGCTGTCCATCAAAGCCACCTACATTCCGGGGGTCCTGAAATGTAGCAGCGGACATGCTGTCGAGAGGAGGACCCCGCGACTCCGACTGGCGTCTGCATCCCGCACTGATATCACAGATCTGGATGAGGTTCGGGGAACCCTCTGTGGATCTGTTCGCGGCTCGCGAAAACGCACAGTGTTGCATCAGTAGTAAAAGCCAAACTAACAGCTAATTGTTAAAAGCAAGGGTAAAATGGTGTGTCTTTAGTCTAGACTTAAAATCTGCCAAGGTGGTTGCCAGTCGAACTGTGACTGGAAGTTCGTTCCACAGTTTAGGACCGGCAACAGAGAAAGCTCTTTGTCCACATGATTTGTAACACCCTTTCGGGACCTCGAGGAGCAACAGGCTGGAGGACCTGAGTGTGCGACCCGGAGTGTAAATTGAAAGAAGGTCAGATAAGTACACGGGGGCAAGACCATGGAGGGATTTCAAAACAAAAAGTAGCATTGTATACTGGACCCTGAAAGTGATGGGCAACCAATGAAGGGATTTGAGAACTGGTGTTATATGCTGGCGCCTGTCAGTACGTGTTAGGAATCTAGTAGCTGCGTTTTTAACGAGTTGAAGTCGGGCAAGGGTTGACTTATTGACACCCAGCAAAACTGCATTTGAGTAGTCGAGCCTAGATGTGAGGAAGGCATGAACAACTGATTCCAAATTTTTTCAAGATAAAACAGCTCAGTTTGGACAGATGGCGGAGTTGGAAAAAACAAGATTTTACAGTGGCATTGATCTGGGCCGATTCCTGACAAAGTAGTACGGATGGTGTACGAGGCTGTGAATGATAAAAATGAAAACACATGCCACAACAGTCACATATAAGAGGAATGTTGTGAAAATACCTTTAGATGAGGTGTGATGTACCATTTTTGGCTCAGTGTGTAATGACAACGAGGCATTATTCATGTGGAAGGTCCTATGAAACTAATATTCCAAGTTTTATAAACAACCGAAACAAACTCAAGGGAATTCAGACCCCAAGAAGGAGGAATGCTTTAGATGAAATGCTTCTGCAGATACAGCTTATCATTCATCTCCAGGAAATGACTGAACTTAATTGGCCTTCCAAGCTGGTCCTCCATTTTTCAGGCAGGAGGAAGAAAATGATGATCATATTGACAAGTGACCCGACGTGACGAATCAGTTCGATGTATTAGTTTAGTCAGTTTCCACCAACTTCACGAGCACAAACAAAAGTAACGCCAGAGATGTGGTTTTGCATTTAATCTCAATGTGATTTAGGATTGAAGCTCAGTATACACGTGTTTCTGGCTTTTGTAGACAAATTTCTCACCATTAACATGATGAAAATGGTGAACGTGAGGATTATTTCATTTGCAGGTATGGAATCGTCCAGTGTGACCGACCCAGTGTTGCACTTTGACATTATGAAACTTTTAACGTTACTGGGAACGCGTTTTCGCACTGATAAGTGACATCACTCACTGCCGAAGCAGCCGTGATATGCTGACATCTGTGCAAAGTCCTGAAAGAGTTGAATTTGTATGGAGACACAACAGCTGAGAGGACCGGGACGTTGTATCTCCCCGTCAATTCCCCCATCCCGGAAATTAACCTGAAGTTCCAACAATGGAAACACGGCTGATGATGTTTGTGTTACACTTCTATCCAAAACCACTGAGGCAGCAAGGCAAGTGAAGTGTTTGCGCAAGCAAAATGACCAGGAAGAAGCTGGAACTGAACCGGCAACCCTCTAATTACTGGCTGACCTGCAACACATCCTGAGCCACCTTTATTGTTAATAAAATAAAACGTTGAATTATTTCATTTCCATTTGCAACAAAACATTATTATTATTTATTTATTTATTTATTTATGTATTTTTCAGGCTTTAAAGGGTTAATGAAGACATGGCAAACCAAAGTATAGCAATAGAGTTGTATATGGTTGGAAGGTGATTAGTACATGAAAAACAGCTGGGCTAATTAACAGATGGGGCACAGGTGAGCGAGGGGGAGCTGAAAGGAAACTAATGAAAAGTGGCACAGGAAGGAAGCGATAAGAAAAGTACCAGAAATACTAAAATAACTAAAAAATAAAACATATTTATCAGATTTGTTTGTAATATCCATACAAGATCAGTTTCACACTTTAGCAGCCCAACACATGCTTTGATGGGAGAATTTGAACTGAAAGTTGACGTTTCTGAGCGAAAACGCCTCAACTTGTTTGCACCAGACTGCTTTTGATAGTTTGTTTCCACACTAGTTGGTGGCGGTAATGCACCATTTGTTGTGTGCCAACTGCCATTTAAACCCCAGAAGAAGAAGAAGGAGAAGATAGTTTGCTAATGACAGGAACTGTTCATCAGAGAAAAGGCGTGGGCTCTTATCCAGGAAGTCAGCGGATCTCTCCTCTTTGACTTGTGGTGGCGTCAAAGGTCATGCATGCAACGATTCTTTTGTCGCTGCTAAATTGGAGTGAAAACCAAGGTTAGAGCTTTTCTTCATTTGTAGAAGCTGAGCAGATGGAAGTAAGACTCCTTTTGAAAGTAATTAATTTGAGATAGAAATAAAGGAAATGCAAGGATCCCTTCAGCTCTGATTGTTCTATAAAAGATGATTACATTTTCAAGGCTTGCTGTGGGAGTGCATGCTTGTTTTTATCTGGATGAGCGATGCATCATCTTGTTGTATAACAAAGTTTGCTTTAAACAAAATTAGCCAGGTGCAAAAAAATAAATGAACTCAATATTTAGAAGATCCTTCTTTTGCAGAAAGAACAGCCTCTAAATGCTTGCTATAGCTTCCAGTGAGAGTCAGGATGCTGGTTGAAGGTATTTTGGACCATTCTTTACAAAACATCTCTAGTTCATTTGTGTTGCTTCCTGTGCATGAAAAATGCTATATAAATAAAGTTTGATTTGATTTGATAAACATGCTGGAAATGTGCTGGAAGCAGTCTGCAGTGCCAGGTATGTCAGTTCTATTTCTCCCCAACAGAGCGGCCCGCCAGTCTGAAGTTGCAAGTGGAATATTCTGGCAACAGAGGGTGGGGCTGGGTGGCCTTTTATTAACCCTGTAAAGGGTCATTTTAGCACACACTGTAGCCACTAGCCAGAGATTTATAAATGAAAAAGCTATCTTCTTTTTCCTTATTTAACACAGTGAAGTAATTAGATGTTTTCTACCTTGGGCTGACATGTCTTCATCAGAGCCTCCAGCTGTTGGCGGTGTCACTTCCATTTATGTGCGGGCAGCAAAGGACGATCTCGCCCTCTGCTGCCCGCATCTTTCACGCTGATAACAGTCCCATGTGTGATCCAATGACGATGTTTAGATGTTGGATGTCGGATGAGTAGCTGGTGGCTCTGATGAAGGGCGAAGTTCTGGCCAAACCCTGTTAGCCGAAGGTAAAGAAATATCTAATTACTTCACTGTGTTAAATAAGGAAACATAATTACACAGAGAGCATACAGAAGAGAAATAAACATAATATTGTCCTGCAGAAGTTGTTTATTTCTGTTCCATTGGTTCTGAATGGTGGAATTGAACTCTCAGACTGTCTCTTCCTCTTCTTCCTCTTCTAAAGGTTCTCGAGGGAAAGCATAAGTCTCCATATTTGTAAGTCCAGATATCACACAGCAGCTCAAAGAGCTGCGGGGCACGTTCATGCTGCAGATTTTAGTCCACCGATTGGTTGTAGTACTGTAGAACTCAGCATTGGAAGTGGAGGAGAAGGCATTGACGCCTCCAACAACGATGAGCTTGTCTTCAATCATTTCCAGACCAAAATTGCTGCGTGGAGTAAACATGGGTGGCACGGCCACCCAAGTATTGGTTTGCGGATTGTAGGCCTCAGCACTGCGCAGACGTTCAGTACCGTCAAAGCCGCCGACCTGTTGGGAGTAAAAGTCTATTCAGTCTGACCTAATTGGTGGCATTTGATCTTTTAGAAGTTTATTTTAGATGTTTTCATAAAAGAAAACATCTAAAATACTGAACTCCAAACTCAAAATCTGCATTTTCAGGCTGTGTACTTTGTATAAAAGTAATTCCAAATCTGACGACAGCCTGAAAGACTGGGGGTAGCCTGTGTTAGTGAAGCAGACTGAGGGGAGCCTGAATGGAGGATGAAAGGAGACAAAGCACTAAGAAGAGGAAGAGGAAGAGGAAGAAGAAGAGGAAGAGGAAGGAAGAAGAAGAAGAAGAAGAGCGCCTCTCAAGATAAAAATCACAAGGCGCTTCACAAAAACGTAAAAAAGCATTTAGAAAATGTTTAAAAATATATTTAAAATGAGCAAAAATAGACAATTGTGATTAAAAATGTAAAGAAAGAGAGAGAGTGAACAGGGAAGAGGGAAATCAGTGGATCCTGAGGAAGGTGGAATAGGTGGGGAGAGCAGAATAAAGAGAGAGTGGTGAAGAAGGTCATACAAAAGCCAGCTTGAACAAGTGAGTCTTCAGCTGCTTTTTAAAGGAGACCACTGAGTCCACTGATCTCAGGCTCAGGGGGAGAGAGTTCCAGAGTCTGGGGGCCACAGCAGCAAATGATCTGTCACCTTTGGTCTTTAGGCTGGTGCTGCACAACCAGTAGGCTTTGATCACTGGACCTCAGGGACCTGCTGGGGGTGTAGGCACTAAGAAGATCACCAATGTAAGATGGTGCTTGTCCATATATGGTCCTATAGACCAGAACCAGGATCTTGAAATGAACCCTGAAGTCTACTTGGCAGCCAGTGAAGTTGGAGGAGAAGCGGGGTGATGTGGGTGTGTTTGGAGGACTTGGTCAGAAGCCGAGCACAGGCATTCTGAACCACCTGTAGACGGTTCAGGGAGGTTCTGCTCAGACACGTGAAAAGAGAGTTACAGTAGTCTAAGCGTGAGGAGATTAAGGTGTGGAGAACTGTCTCAAGTTCAGAGCGGGACAGAATGGGACTCAGCTTAGCAATGTTCCTGAGATGGAAGAAGGAAGAACGAACAAGAGAACTGACATGAGATTCCAGGGTGAGAGCTGGGTCAAAGGTCACGCCAAGATTCCTGACAGAAGGTTTGGTGTGAGAAGCAAGCTGACCAAGAGAGTCTCTGACTTTGGGAACCAGCTTGTCTGGGGCACAGATGAGGATCTCAGTCTTATCTTCATTCAGCTGTAGAAAGCTCCCAGCCATCCAGGTTTTGATGGAGTCTAAGCAGGTGTGTAACAGCTGCAGCTTAGACATCTCATGGGGCTTAAAGGAGATGTACAGTTGGATGTCATCTGCATAAAGATGGTAGGAGATTCCTTTGAAGGAGCTCAGGATGTGCTGAAGAGGAAGCAGATAGAGGAGGAAGAGCAGAGGCCCCCAGCACAGAACCTTGTGGGACACCATGGGTAAGGGAGGTGGTGGAGGACCTAAACTTGGAGGAACTTACTGCATAAACACGATCCGCAAACGCAATGACTCCGACACCATTGCGCGGGCTGCTCATAGGGTGGATTAATGTCCAGTGGTTGGTTTCTGGTGTGTAAAACTCCGCTGACAGCAGGGAATGGTGTCCGTTGAATCCACCACAGATGTAGATCTATAAACACACACAGAAACAGTTTAAAATGGATAATTGAGTTTCTATAAAATCTGTTAAATAGTTTGTTAACCCTCTGGAGGCAGGCGTTGCAGATCTGCAACGTTAACCTACCTGGTTACTCCACACACGTGTTTCATGAGCATTTTTTAACTCAGAAGTACCCCTGAAGGACTTAGTTGTTCGTCCCGTTATCAAAACTTATTTTGAGACTGAGAGGGTTAAAATCTTCAAAAAATATATCTTTATTGACATAAAAATCATAATAATATGTTATATTTCTGCTTATGGCTGAGGAAAAGCTTTTAGATTAGTGACTGAATAAACTAATGTCATTTTTTTCTATAGGAGTTATTTCAAAGCAACCTCAAACTCTTTTTCTGGAAACTAAGAGCTCGTTTAACATCACACATGTTTCAGTTCCACTAAAGCACAGCCACACACCTTTCCCTGAAATGTGGTGCAGCTGGCATTACTTCTTCGCTCATGCATGGATGCAATGAGATGCCACTGGTTGGTTTCAGAACAGTAGTACTCAGCTGTATCATGTCTTGTTTGTCCATTAAAGCCTCCCATTGCATAGATGAGCCCGTTCAGAACGCTGACACTCACGTAGCTCCGGCGATAGTACATTGGTGAAACCGCCATCCAGGTGTGGGTAATGGGATTGAACCTGCGGACGCTGTTGAAATACTCCACTCTGTCACAGCCACCGATGCAGTAAACAAATCCATCTAAGAAAACAGAGCCATGAAAGGCACGAGGACGCTCCATGTTTTCCACAGTGATCCAGCGTTCAGCCCTGACATCATAGGCTTCTATGGCATTGGTTGGAAAACCATCATTCCAGCCTCCAATGGCCAGGAGGATGGCAGGTGGCAGACGAGGACGGCTAAGGGGGTCGTTGGTTCCAGTAAAACCACACTTAGTTAGGAGGATACGTAGGCGAAGAAAAGTTGCACGTGAAACAATGCATATGCAGGCTCGATCGGGATGCTCCAGCACAACTGTCATCACATCATTCAAGCACTCTAAATCCAT